CTTTTTAAAGACCCTTTGTATGCACCAAAATAAACTTATCTTTTTCGTTTCATTTTCCATTAGCTTTATTGTGTTATTTGAAAGGCTGAGTTACAGAGAGGGAGAGGCAGCAGCAGAAAGAGAGTTAAATCTTTTATCTGCTAGTTCACTTCCCAAATGGCTGCAACCCCAGGGCTGAGCCAAGCCAATGTCAGGAGCCAGCAGCTTCTTTCCCAAAGTGCAGAACCTCAAGTACTGCTGCTTTCCCAGAGAAGTGATAGGAACTGGGACAGCCGGGACCCAAACCAGCACCCATAGGAGATGCCGGCAGTGCCGGCAGCAGTTCAGCCAGCTGTGTCGCAACACTGGCCGCACCATGAACTTTTGGAGTGCCTCATGTTATTTATCTTCAATGGTGAGGGCACAGAGGCAGAGTTACCAAGGGCCTTTCTGAGAACCCGCAGGATGGAAAGTAGTCTTCTTTGTACCAGCAGGGGGCATCCTTGAGACACACCTCCCCCACCCCCGCCACACCCCCCTTCTATCCACTGAGGGAGTAAGGCTGAGTGAACCAGGGAGCCACGTTACTGTAACCCTTAATTTTAACCCCGGGGAACTTGTTCTATTGACAGTGAAGAATGTTATCTCTGAACAAGCAGACAAGAAGGCAGTTTTAGCAAAGTTTATTTGAAAAAATGAAGAGACAGAAATTCCTACATCTAGACCTCACAGACATCTCCATTAAGGACCGATAGCCCCCGGTCTGCATTCAGATGGGGTTTTGGTGAACATGAGTGAGGAATCCCTTCCTCTCTTTTCTAGGAAATTCTGGGTGGGGGAGTTTCAGATGTGAAATCCCCTTAAACAAATCACTCAACACTGACCATCAAGGTTCTTACCTACTGGGAGAAGCAAATGACTGATTCTGACATTGTGGGACCAGCTGTCTAGCTCCCTTGATTCCGTGAGTTCTAAGGGACAGGCTAGGATACCTTGAATTAGGGGTCACAGAGGTTGGGGCCTGCTTTCAGAACTTGTGGCTCATTCCATTGCACCTAAACTCATTCTCTTCTCCTGCTCTTCGGCTGCTGTTACCTGCCAGGTTAATGTCTACCTGGCGGCCTTAACATTCCTTCTATTATAAATACTATCTTCAAAAGCTGATTCTTGCCAGGAACTTTGCTTCTCCCTCCATATCATGCTCTGCTAGGTTTCCATTAGGCTGCAGCTCAAGCCGAAAGCGCCTCCAGCCCATGTCATCGTCAAAGAAATTCTGACAGGGTCTGATCACCTCTGCCTGCACAAGACTAGTAAAATGACCGCTCTTACCCCTCGTCCCAGTGTGAAAAGCCGAGATGTCTCATTTTCCGTCCTACATCCATCAGGTTGCGATATCGTTGGGATGAGCCGGCGGCAGTGGGGTTTGAGTTCTAAAGCTCAGCACTATCCATACAAAGACGTGGATCATTGTGTCTTAATCAGGTTGCAGCCAAGATCCCAAAGCACTGTGTATGAGCCATCCCAGTGCTTTTTTCTTTTAATATACATATGTACATATGTGTGTGTATGTGTGTTTTTTTGAAAGTCAGACAGAGATCTTCTATCCACTGGTTCACTCTTCGAATGGTCGCAACAGCCGGAGCTGTATTGATCCAAGCCAGAAGCCAAACGCTTCTTCCAGGTCTCCTATGTGGGTGCAGAGGCCAAAGTCCTTGGTCAGCCTCCCAGGACTTTAACAGGGAGTTCAATCGGAAGTGAAACAGCTGGGACTCTAACTGGCACCCATAGGGGATGTGCTGGCACTGCCATCAAAGGATTAGTGCCACATGCCACCATTCCAGTGCTTTTTGAACAAGAACATCTAAAGGCATTGGAAAATCTTCCCCGAGCAGAGTACACACGGGTTTCCAAAAGTTTCCTGAAAAATGCACATTATGAAAAAACAAAGATCATGCATGGATTTCTTTAGAAAGCTGAAAGGATTTTGAAAGGTTTTTCTGTAAATAAATGATAACTGCTTGAGGAAACAGATTTATTTATTCTGATTAAAACATTACATAATATATACATGCATCAAAGCATTTCATTATAACCCATAAATGTCTAATTCTCATGTATCAGTTTAAAATCATTATTTTAAAACTCATAAGAAGAGGAAAGCAATCAATGTGGTCACAACAGCCGGAGCTGAGCCTATCCGAAGCCAGGAACCAGGAGCCCCTTCCGAGTCCCCAGGCAGGTGCAGGGTCCCAAGGCTTTGGGCCATCCTGTACTGCTTTCCCAGGACACAACCAGGGAGCTGGATGGGAAGTGGAGCAGCCAGGACGTATAGGATCTTGGTGTATGTAAGGTGAAGATTTACCCACTGAGCCGTCACACTGGGCCCAATAAACGTTATTTTTAATGGTTTTACATGTTAGCTACATTTCTCAGATGTATTGCTCATCCAGTATCATTTTCTCTTTCCCTTTTTAGCCCATGCTTATTGCTCACAGCTAATCCTCGTAATAACAGATTCTGTTCATCAGGCATTTTGCTATGTACATCCCAGGCCCTGTGCCCAGTGCCCGACACACATAATAATCTAGAGAGCTGTGCTGTCGTCACTCCTCTCTCAGACAGGAAGAGTGAGTTTCAGAGAAGTCACTAGACCCATAGTTTGCTACTAAAATCTATTCCCTTTTTTTTACCTTTTCTTATCACATCTCTCCTCTGCAAAATTCTCAACATGGCACAGCAGGTAAAACCAACACCTGGGGCGCCTGCATCCCACATCAGTATGCTGATTCAACTCTCTGCCATGCTTCTGATCCAGCTTCCTTCGAATGCATCCTGAGTGCATTGGGAGACCTAGAAGGAATTCCAGGCCTCCTGGCTTCACTCTGGACCAGCCCTGGTTGTTGCAAGCATTTAGGGAATGACCCATTGGTTGAAGATTTCTGTCTCTCTCTGTTGCTCTGCTTTTCAAGTAGATGGAAATAAACACTTGAAAAAAATGTCTTAGGCCTGGAACACAGCACAGTGGCTACATCCTTGCCTTGCAGGTGCCAGGATCCCATATGGGCACGGTTTGTGTGCCGACTGCTTCCCATCCAGCTTCCTGCTTGTGGCCTGGGAAAGTAGTAGAGGATGGCCCAAAGCCTTGGGACCCTGCACCCACATGGGAAACTCAGAAGAAGCCCCTGGCTCCTGGCTTCAGATCAACCTAGCTCTAACCATTACAGCCATTTGGTAGTGAATGGATGAAAGATATTTCTCTTCTCCCTCCTTCTGTTAATCTGCTTTTCTAATAAAAAGAAATAAATCTTGAAAAAAAAAGAAAAAAAGTTTCTCAGCAAGGTATATATCAATTCTGTAGTCATAATCCAAGATTTCTCAACATCAGCATGATTGACATTGAGCCAGATCATTCTCATTGGTGAAGGAACGTCTTGTGGTCATATGGTGTTTAGTAGCATCCCTGGCTGAAAGGAATCCAAAATCACACACCCACCCATGAGCTGCCAGCAGCAAAATCCCATTCCTACCACACACACATGGTTGTAAGAACCAAACACATCTCCAGACATGGCCAAATGTCCCCAGAAATAAAAACCACCTTCCCTGAGAGCCACTGAGGCAACCTGGTCCCTGCTAGGTGCAGAAAGGATTTCTGAGCTGTAGCTGAACAGTTGCTGATCAAAGGCCATGGGAACAGCCTGTGCCCTTCTGCCAAGTCAAGCTCATTGAGGTAGCTAGCACATTCCAGGACAGGGCTTGAAAGTCTTCCTGGTGTGCCCTGGCCACAAGAGGCATGGGTGAGGCAAGATGGTCTGGTCTCTTGTCCTGGTAGCTGGGATTGGAATGGATAACAGTGGATGTTCCTGGCCAGTGAAGGCTGGGAAACTCGGGCTGGTCTGTAGCTGACACTGCCAAAGGGAGTCACAGATCCAGCTCTTGATCAAGACGCTGGGAGGGCGGACAGATCCCCTGCGTCAGAGTCAGGAGGTTGCATGTCTGCTTGTCACCCTGCTTCCACTAGTGGTTCGGTCTCAACAAGCCCTTATCCTTTCCCTGGGCTCACAGCAACCTAGCTCAGTCCCAGCTCTTGGGAGGATTTGGAGAATGGAGGATCTCTGTCTTGCTGTCTCTGTGACTTTCACATAAATAAAGGACAATGTTAAGTGATTATATTGGCATGTTCTGACATGGAACAATTCCCAAGATATATTATTAAGTTAAAAGATCGCATTGGAAAAATATTTCCCAGCCAGTAACAATGATGTCCTGCGTGATTGCAGAAGCATTATCAATTCTGCAGGAATATGTATTAAACAGTTAGCACTGGTGCTCTCTAAAACATACAAGACTTGTTTCTGTACAATGAAGATAATAGTAAAACTCAAATTGGTGGAAATGTTGTCATTGGAAAATATTTATTTTTTTTTGAAAGGCAGAGAAAAAGATGTACAGAGATTTTCCATGTGCAGGTTCACTCCCCAAATGAATGACCCAGTTTGGGCTGGGCAAGCCCAAAGCCAAGAGTCTAGAACCCAATCTGAGTCTTCCATATTTGTGGCAGAGATCCAGTTATTCCGCTAGCAGTTTATTGCCTCTCAGGGTGCACATTAGCTGGAAGCTGGGAATCAAGAACAGAGTTGGACCCTGAAATCAGGTACTGTAATGTGGGATATATCCATGATAAGCAAGATCTTAACCACTGCACCAAATGCTCATCCCAGACACGCCCTCCCATTTTTTTTTTTTAATAAACTGAGAAAATAATGAGCCTTCAACCTGAGCCTCACTCACACAAGCAAACAAAAGCAAGGCATATGACAGCTGGAGAAAAGTATCTAGAAGTCATCAGCAGTGGTTGGTCATGGTGGGTTAATGGATGGTTTCTAGCTCTCTCCTTCAGCATGTATGGCTCTCACAGACGCCACCCCACTCCCACGAGCCCTCTTGGTTTAAGCTGGGGTGATGCTTAGGTGTAGAGGCCTATCGATGTAACCACTGTTGTGTGGCACCTGTCTCCCCAGGATGGACGACATCCAGCTCTGCAAGGACATCATGGACCTGAAGCAGGAGCTGCAGAACTTGGTCGCCATCCCAGGTAACCATTTATGACTTTACTTCATGATATGTAGCTGCTCAGGCTGGTGAGGGCCCATGGTCCTGGGGTCTGGAAGATAGAGCTCATCCCTTCTCCTAGTGTGGCCTTGTTCTTGCAGTGCAACACTCTCTGAATGCACAGTTTTACCCCAAACCTGTGGTTTCTTCTTCTTCAAGTCAGGCAGATTCAGGTTCAATCCTAATTCTCTTATCTTGGACAAGTCACTTTCTGAGACTCAATTTCTCCTCCTCTGAAAAGGGCGACGTGACAGTAATAGCATCTAACCTATGAGTGTAAATTTCACTGTGATAAATGACTCAATATAAACCAACATTGCCTGGTTTTTCACCCATCTTTTGCTATGATTCTGACTGAAGTCAGATCTCGATTTGCTAGTTGCTGATGACATAATTAGTTGGTCTCTTCTCCCCCTGAACTATTCCCTGCCTATTGTGCTGTCCCCTGTGAGGCTTGCCTTGCTCAAGGCACTTCTCATATGGCTGCCTGTGGATTCAGGAATGTCTCTGTGCAGACATGTTGCTTCTTGAGGGCACACCTGGAAGGTGCTAAGCTGTCCTGCTGACAGCTGTGTCAGGTTGAACATGCTTCTGCAAGGAGCAACACATGCTGCATGAATCCTCCTCCCACACCCACCATCCTTGACTTGAATTGTGACAGTTCTGTCATGTGAGTAAGCGTGGGCTAGAAGGCTGCTCCACAGCAGACCCCAAGCCAGGTGCTGGGCTTGCCTTGCACTCCCAAGTTAGTGGGAAGGGCCTATCACACAGGCCTACCTGCGCTAAGTAAGCAGTGCAATATGAGCTGCTGTATCTCAGTGTTGCTCAACTCTGACACATGGGTATTTGGAGCAGGTGTCAAAATGTCAGTGTCATCATCTGGGGCTGATCACTTTTGTTGGGGCTGGGGGTTCTGTGTTGTGCCTTGTGGGATGTGGGCAGCATCCCTGGTTTCTACCCACTACCTGCCAGTAGCCAATGCGCCCCCCCCATCCCCGGCAGTTGTGCTACCAGCATGTTCACAGATGTTGCTGAATGTCCTTCCAGGAGCCCAAGAACGATTCCTTCAGGGTGCAGCGAAAGAAGGTGTCTTTAGAAAGAAATGGATTCCCTCAGGGCTGGCGCCATGGCATTATATGTTAAGCTTCTGCCTGTAGCATAGCCATCCCATATTGTTTGAGTCCTGGCTGCTCTACTTCCAGTCTAGCTCCCTGCTAATATTCCTAGGAAAGCAGTAAAAGATGACCAACTCCTTGGACCCCTGGCTTCTGGCTATGGACCAGCTCAGCTCTGCTGTAGCAGCCATTTGGGGAATGGAAGATTCTTTGTCTCTCCTCTCTCTGTAACAGTGTGTTTCAAATAAAAATAAATCTTAAGAAAAAACTTATCTCCTCACTTTAAAAAGCAAGGGGCTTTCTTATTGTTCTAAAGCCTAGAAGATTGAAATTCTGCCTCTCCAGGTTCTAGGGGAGAGTTCACCCTCGCCCCTTCCAGCTGTGGGTGGCTCCCATGCCTCCTTGGCCTTCTTTGGCTTGTGGCTATCTGATCCCAATCTCTTCCTTCATGTAGCCCTCTTCTCTGTGTGTCTTCTCTTCTTTCAAGACACAAACCTTTAGGTTTACAGCCCACTCTAATGAGTATGACCTGATCATTGCTTAATTAATCACAGCTGTAAAGTACTTTCCAAATTACTTTGGCCATGGAATTTTTCCAAATAGGATAGACAGACATTATTGAGGGCAGACACGATTTTCTATTAGACTAGACATGAAATTGAGGGTAGTGGAGAACCCTGTTCAATCACTTACAGGTGTGGAGCTCAGGCCAGCCTTACAAGGGCCCAGAAGCAAAAATATAAGATCTATAGAATGTTCTTTGCCCCTTGCTCCCGTTTTGGGCACACACAAACCAAGCAAGCAAGGGCAGTCCATCCCCTTCCATGCTGTCCCTGAGCAGGAGCCCAGCTCTCCTTGGTGTGCCAGTTTCACTCCCTGGAGAGCCTGATGGTCTAACATGGGCTGCCCTCTCCCTCTCAGGAAGGAGGATTCCCAGGACCCACTGGTGAACTGGTGACTCAGTAGGACACGTGGGAGCCTCCGGAGGCAGAGGAGCAAGTGTGAGGCTACTGAATCCAGCCAAGCTCCAGTGGGCCAGAGGAGCTCCTGTCAGGGCCAGGGTCCCAAGGCTTTGAGCCATCCTCGCCTGCTTTCCCAGGCCACAAGCAGGGAGCTGGACGGGAAGTGGGGCTGCCGGGATTAGAACCGGAGATCCCCATGTGGAGATCCCGGTGCGTTCAAAGCAAGGACTTTAGCTGCCAGGCCACTGTGCTGGGCCCTAATAGAATGTTTAAAAAATTTTTTTAATGCATGAAAAAAAAAAAAAAGGAAGAACAAAAACACCAAAGCATAAAGACAGGACAAATGATTTGCAACATGGGTCAGGTCAGTCCCTGTTGAGTGTGTCTCCCACCCCAAATGCCACAGACTTCCCCACTGGAACAAGGTCATGGGGCTGCTCAGTGGCACAACCCAGTCCTTTCACACCAGTCCCACTGATTTCCCTAGAAGCTACTTCCTCCCCATCACTTTTCTGGGTTGGTTCTGACCGCCACATTCTGCAGGAGCTCCTCTCTCCTCCCCTCCCAGCCTCTGCTCCCCATCCACTTCTCCGTCCCTTGTGTCTTGAGTCTTCCTCTGCATTCCCAGGATCGGTGCCAGGTTTCTAGATGGAGTTTGCTGCGATTAGGGAAAAAAATTACCAGACTCCTGGCAACACATCAATAAACGTATTAAGGAAAGAAGATGTGAAATCCAGATTTCTTGAGCCAGGGCCAGGAAAGAATTCCCCAGCACCTCAGTGGTACAGCGATAAAACCCCTGGGGCCTTCCTGCCTCAAGGGCTTCTCAAGGCCAGGTCAAAATGTGTCACACTGCTACCATGCCACCCGGGGATGCTCAGTATGGCTGCAGAGGCCCTGAGCACCTGTCCCTGCATCGTAAAACCAGCATTTATCAGACAAGATTTAAACAGTGCTTCTCAGGTGGGGATGGTGTCTGGAGACATTATTATTGATTGTCCCAGTCCCAGTAATGCCCAGGTGGAAAAGCCTAATTTGAATCAAACCACGGTCATATGAATATAATTACAATGACTACCATTTAGTAAGCACTTGCCAAATGCACACTGGGGCTATGAGATTCACTGCTTCTTCATTTAATAAGGATTTTGTACCTGCTTCAGTAAATATTTAACCTGGAGGTCACTTAATCACTAACCACAGTGACATTGTAAAATAATTGTGTCCGAACACTTTATGAAGCCCTTATATTTAACTTACTCTGTGTCTCTTAAACTTTGCAACAAGCTTAGAATCATGAATATTGAGAGACTGGATACACAAAGAGCTTAAGGATTGTGCCCTGAGTCACACAGCTCAGTAGAGCTGGGTCCTAGGGCATTGGGTCAGGAGTGTCTGTTCTATGGCCAGGGCTCACAGTTGTGGTAAAAGCTACAGTGTTAGCAAGAGCTGATGGTGGACTGAGCTGGGCACACGGTGGGAGGAGGTGAGAAGCAGGTAGATGGGTGGCACTTGCTGGTAGGTAGGAGATGTTGGTAACAGAGGCGTGTGGCACACACAATGACTGACACTGGCCAGTAACTTAGAACCTTGGGGCATTGAACATGTTCATCAGCTGGCACAGCCCACTTCTTGAGTAGGCGGCTCCTCCATGAGTCACTGCCTTTGCCACTGCTGAGTATCTGGGGCAGGCTGGGGAGCGCCTGCATTGGCAAGGGCTAGACAAGCACGGATGAATAACCTGGGGACAGAGTTTGTCAGATGCCTGGGACCTGTGGGCAGCTCTGGCTGAGATCTGGGGAGAACACCTGGAATCTACAGTGCTATCAATGGTGACCTGGAGAGGAAAGCCACACTGGAGACTCCCCAAAAGAGCTAGAGTGAGCAGGGTGCCCTGGAGAATCAGGGGGTGCTGCCACTTGTTTGTGGAGGGCAGGGAGGGCTTGGTGGCACCAAGAAATGGTTTGGGGAACCAGGCTCCCAGGGCCCACCATGGAGAAAGCAGTGCCACCATTTTCCATTACAGGCCAGGATTTGGTGGTTGCTTGCAATGCCACTGCCCTTTGGGTTCACCAACAGCCATCCAGAAAAGCCAACTGAACCTGCTGCTTGAATAGTCATCCATGTGTCATGGAACCTGCTCTCAAGAGTCAACCCACCAAGGATGGAAAATGGGCTGGTCTGAACACATCCAGACTATCACAGAGCATTTATATTGCACTTGGCACTGCAAATCACCTAGAGAAGATTTATAAAGCATGGGTATTGCAGTAGGTTGAGCCACCAGTCAAGGACATATCAGAGTGACAAAATTCAAGGCCCAGCTTTGCTTCCAGTTCCAGCTTCCTACTAATGGACACCTTCGGAGGCAGCATAACTCTTGGGAGACTCAGCTGAGTTCCAGGCTCCTGACTTTGGCCTGGTTTGGCCTCAGCTGTTGTGAGCATTTGGGAAGTGAATTACAGATAGATAAAAGATTCTCTTTCTCTCTTTCTCTCTCTCTTACTCTCTGTGTGTCTGTACCTACCAAATAAGATGAAAATAAATTACAAATAAGTAAATAAAACCTACTGGAGGATGTGTTTGAACATAAATGGACTTTGGTGTTGACAAGGGGTCCCAACAACCCCAGACACAGAACTGCTTCCAGAACTAGATGTTTTCAGAGCCAATCCTCAGCTGGATGACCTTAGAAGATGCCTCACATTTTCTGTTCCAAAGAGGTCTGAAATGTAAGCTTAAATTCTTGCCTCTCCATTTTCTCTGTCCTCATTGTTGGCCATCTTCTTCGTCATCTCCTTGGTAGCCCTGCTCAGTTGTCCAGGGGCACAGTTAACGTGATTGGTGCTGATGCTGACTTTCTGGCCCTCACCACACAGTAACTCTCCCAGCTCCCTGAGCTGAAGTTGCTGGGTCACGGCCACTTGCTGAGCACTCACCAAGGCCAAATTCTTGGCTGAACTTCCTTGACCAATATGGCCACATCTGAAACCTCACTGTGCATTTCTAAAAAGATTTATTTTCACTGGAAAGACAGATATACAGAGAAGAGGAGAGACAGAGGAAGATCTTCAATCTGCTGATTGATTCCCTAGTGGCCACAATGGCCAGAGCTGTGCCAATCCGAAGCCAGGAGCCAGGAGCCAGGAGCCTCTTCGAGGTCTCCCATGCAGGTGCAGGGTCCCAAGAACCCTGGACCATCCTCAACCATCTTCTCAGGCCACCAGTAGGGAGCTGGATGGGAAGCGGGGCCACCAGGATTAGAACCAGTGCCAATATGGGATCCTGATGCATGCAAGGTGAGGACTTTAATTCCACCAGTAAGTGAAGTGGTAGAGCCAGCATTTCCTTTGCTGTCAGTTTCTATTTCGAGTTGCACTGAGCTACTTCTTTGCCAATGCTTTCCTCTCCCTCAGAAAAAGAGAAAACTAAGATGCAGAAGCAAAGAGAGGACGAGCTCATCCAGAAGATCCACAAACTGGTCCAGAAGAGGGACTTCCTGGTGGACGATGCCGAGGTCGAGAGGTTAAGGTCAGTGGGCTGCATGTCACCAGACCCTGGCCTTCACTTCCTTCCGCAACGCATCTCTCGTTCCTGGGAGTCACCACTTGTCTTTCAGGCATGGCCTTGGTCACTGTCCCTGAACTGTGAACCCAAACGAATCACCAGCCTTCTGTTGTGAGGGCCTATTTCCTGTTCAAGAGAAACTAAAGTCCAGCTCCAAAAGTCTCACAAAGGGCCGTGTGTGTTAAGAAAGTGACCTGGAGGTACATAGCACACAGCACAAGGCACAGTTTTTGACACAATCCCCAGCTCTTTGAGACATCTCAGAACTTGGTCCTCTTCCAAAACTCTGTCCCCTGTATCAGCTTACAAGCCCTCTCACCCTCCTAACTTTGTTCTTCCTTTCCCTTCTCCTAAATGCCTTTCCTACCATGTGCCCCCCGCCTTCTTGACCTGCACAACAGACCCTGGAACTTCAACTGGGGGGCTGGGCTTGGGGAAGCTGGGAAGGTTGAGTCTTAACATTTGACTCCCAGAATAAAGCCTTTGGAGCCTTTCTCCTTGAGGAGGGCAGCATCCCTCCACATGCTCCATGACCCCAGGGAGATGCCTCACCTACCTCAGAGCCTGAACCCACCATCTGTGTTCCTAGTGACTCTTGGAAAACTAAGGTGACTTGCGCCCTGACATCTGCCATGCCCCTTATAGTAGGATAGGTAATTAGGGTGGCCTAAAGGTACAAAGTCAGGAAGGAGAGCTGTCCGGTTCACCCAGTCCCCAGCAGGGGGCGAGGCCCTGTGATGTCCCTGTCTCACCCTTGCTCTAGGTAAGTCAGGTTCAGAGCAAATTCATCCAACAAAACACACACACAGCCCACAGAGTCACAAAGCCCAGCGCCTGGTCTCATACTCCTAACCTCTTATCCCATCCCTTTGGTTCTTTCATGTTTTCCCTGCTTAGTGTTTTGTTTTTTGTTTTTTTCTCTCCCACCCATTTGTCTTCACAGGGAGCAAGAAGAAGACAAGGAAATGGCCGATTTCCTGCGAATCAAGTTAAAATCTCTAGACAAAGTAACCAAATCTCCAGCCAGTAAGTGCACATGTGATTCCTCCTGTCCCATCCGAGAGGAAAGGGGGACTTCAGGACAGGAGAGGAGCAGAAGTGCAACACTGCGCTTTCTAGAGATCAAACCTGAGCACAGGCTAGCAGCCGGCAGCTTCCTGGATGTGCAACCTGTGCCCAGCAGGGCGCTATGCCTGGTTTCACATTCTGCTGTGCTATATTGCAATTCCTAACCATTTTGGATCAAAGAGTTACGCATTTTCATTTTGCACCAAACCCTACAAGCTATGGTGCCAGTCCTGCCAGCAGCTGTCTGGACCCTCCTCTAATCGTGTTGGTTTGGTGCATTTCATGGGGTCAGCGAGCTTTGGTTTCTTTCAGAGGTAGAATCTCTGGAAAAACCAGAGCACACCTTCCAGAATATTAGCTTCCTAAGATACTCGGAGCAAACTGGACTGGGTGTGAAGTAAATGGCAGAAATGGTACTGTCTGACTCTCTATTTCTAGAATCCCAAAGCCCATTAGGATACTAAAACAATCAGGGGTTTTTGTCAAGGAACTTTCTTCTCTTTGATGATCCAGAGTTTTTCCCATGTGTCTGACTGATGTACTGTTGAGGCCCCTCTCAGCTACAAGAATGATGCCCAACTCGGATGGATCCAAGCAGGAAGATTTCCTTTCCATTCCTTATCGCTGCCCCTCTTCAAATCTTTGCTCCATTTCCCCCTAGTCAGCCCTCTCCCTGGGTCCAGAACTCCAGGAAGGCAATGACTTCACATCAGTGCCAAAAAGTCTTTCTAACTGCATAAATATCAGGGAAATGGCACTTCTTGAGTCACGTTTCCATATCTTGGGCTCATCACTGTGACCAAGTATCATCTCATCAGTGTCAATCAAATTTAGGGTGCTGTGAACGCCCAAGTCTGTGTCACATTCCTACTCCCGCAACCACAAGGACAGGAGCTGTTAGGAGACGATAAACTAGAAATCTTTGCTGGGAAGACGAAAAAACAAAAAGCTGCCATGATGTGTATGGCTACAGCCATGGTCCACCAACCATCCATCCATTAACATCCTGTGAAAATATGGTTGTAGAGTGTGAGGAGTTAAGGAAAGAAAAGGGGCCATCACCCCTTCTACTAACACTATGAAGCACATGATCCCTGCCTGAAGCCAGGATCCTCCATGCACTGTCTCTTCAGGGCAAAACAAAGTGAAAACAAAAATACTCTATATTGGTGCATGAAGAAGCAAGGAAACTTGCCTCTTACATAGGGCTACAGATAGAAAGAAAAGGAATGATTCTAGCAAGAAACAAAAATGCATGCAAGGGGCCAAGTGTGGGGCCCAAATATGTATCCTGATTTGGTGCTGGAATCCCCAGTTGAAAACTGAAACTATTCTACAACCAGTGAAATCCTTGGGGCTTTAGCAAGAATAATGCAAAGCTTCCCAGTAGTCACCCTTGAGCTTCTCATGGTAAAAGGTACTGCCACAGATAAAATGACTCTCAAGAAAATGAGCTCTCAGTAGAAGTTAAAAGTCCATGATTTCCGAGCCAAGATGACGAGAGCCAGTAGAGGTAATAAAGAATGTTTGCCTTCCCAAGAGCCAAAATAACAGCTGTCTAAAAGAGATGATAAACTGTGTCTACATTATTAAAGAAATAGGAGGCAGAATAAAATCCAAAAGGGAATAGTAGGATGCCGTGAAAAAAGGAAAAGTCACTTGGGAAAAATTAATCTTTGAAAATAAATTAACCTTTGAAATAAAACCCAGGGGAGTAAGTACAGTGATCCAGTTGAAGGAAAGATTCACACATTGAACCATGGGGCCTGAGGAAATTACCCACAATGCAACACGGAGCATAAGAGATAAAAAGCGGGAAAGAGATGAAACAGAATAGAAGGAGAAGGTCCAACTGACATTGAACAGGCACTCCAGAAGGGAAGAAAACAGAGAATGGGGCAGCTGAGATTGTCTGAAAAGATGATATATGAGCATTTTCCATACTTTAAAAACACGAGCCCTCAGATTCAAGTGACTTGAACAAAAATCCCCCTTTATTTTTCTACCAAATACCAAATGGCTAGGCTTGGTGAAGAGAACTGACCAGGAGAAGGGCTGATGGTTGGGGGCCAAGATCTGCAACCACAGGAGCCCACAGGGTGAGGTGGGAACATGTGCTTCCCAAACCACCTGAATGAAGCCTGAACTTGAACGTGGTCTAACTAGGAGCTGGGGTGGGGCTGGGACTGCAGATGGTCAGGGCTCTCCTCACCTCTCTCTTTCTCTCTCTCTGTTCCTTTCTCCCACTGTGTGCATACTTTGCCACAGGCTCCCGGGCAGAGAAGAAAGCAGAGCCCCCACCTAGCAAGCCCATGGTGGCCAAGACGGGGCTGGCACTCATCAAGGATTGCTGCGGGGCCACTCAGTGCAACATCATGTAGCCCCCAAGTGGAGTGTGCCCTCGGAGCCACGGGGACCCTCTCCCACCCTCTTGTCTTCATAGACCCCATTTCACTGGGGCCCAAGAACTCTCCAAGGCAGAAGGGGTTGAAGGCAAGCCTATGACTGCCACTAGGGGCCGTGGGCATGGCAGGCGGGCCCAGCCGCCCTGTACAGAGTGTAGCAATAGGGAGTCCTTCACTGTCGCATGGCCCTCCCCAGAGCATGCCGAACCCAGGAGTCTGTGTCACTGTTTATCCAACCACCAAGGAAAGGTCCTCCCTTGAAAATGTGTATCTCCACTTCTATCTAGCTGTATCTAACCCACTGTGCGAATGAACTGGGAGAGGGGCACGCTCCCCAGGGGTGTATAGTTGTGACCTCTCAACAAGCTAGTACCATGTTGGACACATTGCCCATCCACCCTCCTAGCTCTACTGTCTGGACAGCCAGCCTTCAATGGGCACAGCTCCTGTTCCCTGTGTGTCCCCTCACAGGACCTGGGTCTGGAGGGCCCATACAACCCATGCATCTCTCAGGGGGCCATCAGTGGAGTGCTCTTAGAGATGCCTAGGGCCCACCTGCCAGAGTCGAGCTTGTGTGTGTTGTGGTGGTCACATCTCCCGCTTCTTCCCATCTTGCGTCACGGCCCAGGCCACATCAAGAGGGTGACCACTGCCCCCGTGGCTCTGCCCCTGGTGTGCAGAACACAGCGGGGATGGGAGGCCCTGCATGGGGGAGGTAGCAGAGAACTGGAGGCTGCAATGTCAAGGGCAAGGCAGCCAAGAAGGGGGCCCAGAGTAGATGGTGATCCAAGTCCTTTCCACTCACGAGGACCAACGCCAGCAGGACGCTGCCTCACCAGCCCCACACAGACTTCCGTCCAGAACAGCGATCGGCAGGAGAGGCAGCCTGGCCCTACGGTGTCCCATCATTTGGTGACGTATTTGAACCAGCCTAACAGTGCCACCTGTGTCACTTGATATCCATTTCTACAGCCAGCCCGGCACAGCCCTGTGACCTCTCTGTACGTGTGTGTGTCGTGACCGGCCTAAGTAGTTAGCGTACGATTCGCTGATGTGCAATCATCCATCAGAGAAAATAAAAGTGGAAACCACTGTACTTGGCATTTTCAAAGGTTTTACTTTTTGTCCCTCCCCCCAGTTATGGAAGTCATCCACGTACACGATCATTTTAAAGGTACAGAAAATAGAAGGAAGTCTCTCGGCTCTTTTTTAATACCTTAATTTCTCCAACTCTAGAGAACACTTTTGATGTTTTGCCAAGGTTCCTTCTGGTCTTTTCTGTGCATTTGTGTTTTCTATGCTGGGATTCCACAGTACTGCCCAGTAATCAGCCCCTTCCCCAGTCACTGTAGCATGGCCTCGCCCAGTCACTAAGTTCTCTTTGCAGACATTTCACCAAGTCTTTACAGTGATGCTCACTGAGCTGTCTCCTGGATGCGCCAGCATTTACCCACCCACTGCTTCACTCTCAGGCATCGAGACTGCTGCGAGCTTCCCGGCATCCCAAATAATGTCACCATGTACTAAGCTGCATCCGAATGTCTGACTTTTCCCTAAGAGAAACTCTCAGAAGTATAATTGTTGGGCCATTAATATGAGTACCATTTTCAAATTATTTCTAAATCACAAGAAAATCTGGGAGTCTTTCAGGATCACAGCTCTGGAGTGGATCCCCAGTATCTCTGCCTCAGGGGGACCTGGGCTCCCCCACTCTGCCCCCGGTGGCTTCGGCTTCAGGGCAAGCCTCAGCCTACATGCCACTTCCAGTGTGTGCCACCGTCCTCCTTCACTTACAAAGCACCAAGCATGAGTCAGACTGTGTGAGTGTCCTAGGGCTGTTACTACAAATGATGTCTAGGCATGTGGCTTCAAACAACACAACTCCATGTATGCGTGATGCTGGGAGGTCAGAAGTCTGAAGGCCTATGGTACAATGGGGGAAGCCACTGCTTGTGGCATCAGCATCCCAAGTGAGCATTGGTTCAAGTCCCCATTTCTGATCAAGCTTCCTGTTAACGTGCCTGGAAAGGCCCAGCCCAGGTGGGTGACTCGGCTGGAGTTCCTGACTCCTGACTTCGGGCAGTGAATCAGCAGGTGGAAGATCTCTGTCATTCTGCCTTTCAAATGAATAACTATTAAAAGAAACAGAAAGAAAGGGGGAAAATATTGCAGGGTTCGAGAGAGAGCATGCCAAACAGGTTTAGGATGTATTAGGGAGTCTATTAACCAAGCTTGGTGATAATAGAGCCCACTAGAAATTAGCAAATGACAAGTCCCTGTGGCAATCCAGTCTGAATTGAAACCCTGAGAGGAACAAATGGTCATTGTGTGAGATCTGTCTGCTAAACTAAAGACCTATATTCCAGCTTCCCCAGAAATAAAAATAATCCTAAAATATGTGCAACAAACAACCTGGACACATTACAAAACTGCAGACATTCTTTTCCTGGTGTCTGTCATTCCATACTGCTAGGCCTCACCTCTCCTGCTACTCTTTTTTTTTTTTTAAGATTTATTTATTATTATTGCAAAGGCAGATATATAGAGAGAAGGAGAGACAGAAAGATCTTCCGTCCGATGGTTCACTCCCCAAGTGACTGCAACTGCCAGTACTGCGCCAATCTGAAGCTAGGAGCCAGGAGCTCTTTCGGGTCTCCCACGCAGGTGCAGGGTCCCAAGGCTTTGGGCTGTCCTTGAGCAGAGAGCTGGATGGGAAGTGGGGAAGCTGCTGGGATTAGAACTGGCAATCATATGGGACTCTGGCGTGTTCAAGGCGAGGACTTTAGCTGCTAGGCCATCGCGCCAGGCCCTCCTGTTACTCTCAAAAGTACACAAATTAGAAGTACAAAGCATCTTAGCATTCACATCTTTACTGGCCCAAGCAGTGAACAGAGGATGAGGAACACAAACACACAGGGGCCATGCTCAGGGCTACCTGTCCTCAGAGTCTGTCCACGGGAAGCCAGAGAGCAAGCAGGTACTGGCGGAGACCAAGAGCCGGAATGCTAGAGAGAAGGAAGCACGTGACCAAGAGAGAGCCCCTCCCTATCATGGGCCTTTATGGGGGCTTGTGAGGAGCCTGGTTACACAACAATGCAATACCACACCCTCTCAATTCCAAGTGATGAAGATGAGTGTCACATAGTTGTGGCAGGCATGGCTTCCAAGCTGTGACCCTGAACTAGCTGCTAAGACCACAACTAAAGAAGAAAGCAAACCACAAGTCTGAAGTCAGGTGCTGGCAGGTCTTGATGCCCCGCCAAAGCTGCGGGAAGACTTCCCTGCCTCTCCCTGCCAGCCTGTCGCCTGGCCTCCTGGCAATCCCTGCCCTTCCCAGTCCCTAACTTCATCTTCACATGGCCTTCTCCTCTGGGCTGCCCACCGTTATCCAGCATGACCTCCTCCTAATCCTTCTTTCAGTTTGGCTAAGTCACATCCCAAGGTTTCAGATGAACATTATTGGGGTGGGGGGAACACTGTTCAACACATTGCAGACCCTTCCCACTGTCACCCAGCCGTACTCCCTTTCCCATAGAAAACAAGGGTGAAATCGGTAATGTTAAGGCTACTCCTTGATCCACCACACCAAAGCACATCGATGAAACCTCCTAAAGGTCCCACCCGAGAACTTCTGCCAAATCCCTGACTATTCCTGCAACTCCCAATGACTCTGGAAAAAAAAAAAGAGAGAGAGAGAAAGAAAGAAAGGGCAGAAGCAAGATGCTCTCTGCTCACCAGGGCTGCCAGCCACACTGGGAAACCAGGCAGGCTGCGAGGGCCTGCTCACCCAGCTCGTTCCTTTGGGAGCCACAGAGAAGGACCACAGTAGACGTCACACTAAGCACTGTGTGCCACATGCAGACATATCAGCTGACAGCACAGCACCTAGCAGGAGCACTGCTTCACTGGGGAGCAGGTGGCAGGAAGCCCAGAGTCCCAGAGTCATCCTGCACTCCCTTCTCCTGTGGCCCACTGTCCTTTCTCCTCCCATCTGCATCTCAATACCTCTCCCACTTAGAAAATGCAAGAAAAACAACCCCCCAGACAATTCCTCCTTTGCAGACTTTCCCACTGAGAGCTAGCCAAAAGCCTGGCCGTCTCCATCTTCCTCATCTCCAGATTCCACCTCTCTCTTGGGGTTTAAAAGCCCTCTCAGATATGGCCCCTCCAACACTCTACCCCATCTCCCAGGGACTCTGAAGTCTCTGGGCTCTCTGGCTCTGCTGGCAGCTCCCCTGGGGCTGGTGCCACTTCTGCCAACAGCATGTTTTGCTTCCCTGCCAGCTCTTGTCCTGGCCTGCTCCCTGCCCCCCTCAGTGTCTCCTGGCATCACAAAAGCTAGTGGTAAATCCAAGCACAGTGTTTTTCAAGTTCCAGCTCTCCCGCCCCTTCTGCCTGTCTTCAGAGTCAAGTCCCGTATCCTGGTACTGGCTTCCAAAGTCCCAGGCAGCTGGCCCAGGCCCCGGGACTCTTCCCAGGAGGCACCTTCACTCACTCCAATGCATAAGAGAACAGGAGGCCAACAACTCTTGAAGAGAACAGCACTTCCTGGGAGGAAGAAAGAAAGGCAGAGTAGGCGCCAAGAAGGATGTGTCAAACGGCACCCAGCTTTACCTGGAGGCCATGTGACCTTACGGATTTCAGGATGAAGCCCAAGGACTCTGCATTAGGATGCAGTTGACACAGGCAGACCCAGCAAACACTGGCACTGATGCCAGATATGGGGTGGGGTGGGATGGACAGTGCTCCCCATGGCTCCTCTATGGGAATGAACGCAATGAGTTCCAAGTCACAACGCAGGTAGGTTCTGGAGACAGGCAGGTCCAGGAACCCGAGCTTTGAGCTATCTATGGAACCTGGCATTTGATTTCACACACAGTCATGCCTCTTGTAAAACCTTTTTGAGTTCAGAGATGGCCCTGAGCATGGGAGCTGTAACAAACGCAGCTTGGCAGTGAGGTCACCAGCTTGGGTTC